ATGGAAAGTATAATCGTGAAGTAACAGTAAATGGCCAAAGATAAAAAGAATAATGTTCATAGAACGTCAATGGAGCATCACTCAAACTGAATGCATCTCGTCGCTTCCATCGCTACTTGAGCTTGAGATCATGGAGCCAGACCTGAGCCGAGAATCGACAGCTATTTGTGTGCCCACTCGCAGCAGTTCAGCCTTACGACGCTCCTCCGTATATTCGCAGTTCACATGACCGCATCGACAAGAGAACTGACGCAGCTGAAGAATTCATATTCATCAAGAAATAGCGATGGGAAAGTTTGAAAATCTGAATCCAACTGCAAGGGAGGAAGCCACACTAGGAAACTAGAGGCTAAGTATCTCACTCTGACTGCATCGTCTCAAGGCTTGGAACTTTGAGATATGCTTAGAAAAGTAGTAGGTTGCAAGGAAATTCGGCACTATTTACCCTTTACTGCCCCACTCCTCAAACTGAGCCGGATCTTTATCAAATTTGTCCACGACTGATCATTTGGCTAGAAAGTTTTCTCCAAAGAGAGGTAGTTTTACCCGTAGAACACGAATATTACATCCGTTCAGCGAGGAAGTAAGCTGCTCGAGCTGCAGAATCTTTTCTCCTATCAGCTGTTGTCTGGTGCTCTCTCATCTGTAGCGCTCTCGCCCCATACTCTCCTCTCCGCGCTTAGTCTCATTCCCTTAGCACAGCCGATTAGGAAGGTGAGTGAGCCCTTAACCTAAGCGTTTTCGACGGATTCTTTTCCTTTTTTTCTTTACTGCCGGCCCATTTCGCACCAATACATTCGCATTCGTGTGCAAGAGCCACACCAATGTGATCCTGGGGCATGCCTTTAAGAAGTAATAATACACCCTACTATATACAGGGTGGGCAAAAATTACGGTAACAAGTGCGCAGCCCACAACAGTTTTTACCCTCATCGCTACGAGTTTTCACTGTAAGTGTTTTGTGATTATATGGTTACCTGAAAGCTTCCTCTTCAATTCTGCCCTATAGGCTGGGTTAATTTTAAAATGGCCAGGGCTTCAGCTCATTGTGAAACGATCATCTGTTTTCACCGCCAAGGTGTTCGATTGTGTGACATAGCAAAGCGGCTTGGTGTCTCCAGGAAGCTCGTATCGACCACCATTGCAAGGTTCAAGGAGTTGGGAACCACTAGCGATCGACTTGGACGCGGAAGGAAAACTACTGTTTTACCAAGGATAATATTGCTAAGGTACGCTGGAAGTTGCGCTGGAACTCGGCGCGTTTCATTCGCCGTTTGTCCTCAGAAATAGGTATCAAGCGTGGCTCTTTGCGAAACATAGTCAACAAACATCTCAAAATGAAGGCCTACAAACGTAGGAAGGTTCATTTTCTGACCAACGCAGCCAAGCTGAAAAGGACGGAGCGGTGCAAGAGATTGATGCCTCGATTCTGCAATGGTCATCATACGACGATTCTTTTCACGGACGAAAAGTTTTGGAAGTATGGATTACTCGGTATGGAGCATGCTGGAGACCAAGGCCTGCTCCTCACACCATCGAAATGTCGACGAGCTAAAGGAGTCACTTCAAAAAGCCTGGGATAGCCTCGACGCAGACTATCTACGCAACGCGGTCGATGCCTTCCCAAGAAGACTTCGCTCCTGCATTGACGCAGAGGGCGGCCATTTTGAAGAGTGAAGCGGTTTTCTCTTTGTAATCTTTCCATGAATAAATATGTGTTGTCCATTTGTGCCGTTGAAGCTTCATTGGTTTTCTATGACCGAATTATCTTGTTACCGTAATTTTTGCCCACCCTGTATATGAATCCGCTAAGAGGTCAATTGTACGAAAGAGTAAGAAAAAACAGGCAAACCTTGTCAGTGAACAATTTCTTGAGCGCTTCCAACTGTGCAATATCGCATTTGTTTGCATCAAGAACCCTTTCCATTATATCGTTGGCGTCGACTGAGAACGAAACCTTTTATCACCTGCATGAATGACTTGAAAAGACTTACGCTCCTTCGTCGATTCGTCCCATTGGCGGCATACAGTGACCCACGGGAGAATCATCAGCAAGATGAGCAAGTAGGACATTTTGTAAAGGGTGCTATTCCAATGACAAAGAATTGATAAGACCGACTTGCCGATACATATTTATACGTATGTGTCGAAGATTAAAAACAGCTCACACAGAGTTATTGGCAAGTGACTCATAACATGCGTCCCGCTTCGGAATTTGCTGTAGTTACTGGCCAAGTTCGTCATGTGATTATTCTAGCATTCCTCATGATGCCCTCGCCCTTCCATTGAAACGGAATTCTTCACTTGAGAAGCCACATTTGACCATGTTCCTAAGTATCAAAGTAATGTAAATAGCTTGGTCCGTTCATTGTAACGAGGAATACATCGGAAGGCTCCAGCTCCAGCTCCAGCTCTTGCAGTTTGTGATCCTCTGAATGGAGCACCATCTAGAGCGGAAGAGAGCAGGTGGTCCATTCCCATAGGTGAGACATCGTGCCATCGACCCCTTCTCGCGTTCTGCACTCTTGGATAACAGCCAGAGAGGCTTAAAACATCGTGAATGCAATAATCCAGTCTGCACAAGCATGAAGAAGCTGCGAGTAGAACTATTCACGTCAGGCACTCTTTTCTCATAACTTACTATAAGGCCGAATTCGGGATTATAGTAAGTTATGAGAAAAGAGTACGAATTGGCTTCGTAAGAGTGGGGCAGCCATGAATCAGA